CGAGGCACGGGGAGTTATTTTAAGAAACGGGGAAGATCTGGCGATAGGAGCCAGGCGGCGGCGTTTGATGGCTGGCTCTGGCTCCGGGAGATGGTGGCCCCTGGCTCGGGGAGGTGGGATCTGGCCGAGGGGATGGGGTCTGCCTCGGGGATGGCCTCTCCTCACCTGGCAGGCTGGGTGGCTCCCGGGAGCGCGTTCCCTTCACCTGGGATGGATTTGGTGAGGGCCAGCGCTGTCACACACGAGAGGCAAACAAGCAATCCATCAGTCAGAGATGCAGGACTGAGCGATCGCGGTGCAGATCCCGCGTTGGAAGCGAGCTGTTCCCAACTTGCCTGCGAACTGCACCCGTGTGTTGCCTGTAAGAGCTGTTAAAAAGCGGGGGAGGAACGGATCGTGATTAGTTTTGTAGATTTGGCTTACGCCGAGTTATTCTTTTCCAAGGTTACGGTGGACTTGAAAGGTAATATTAATTTGAAAGAGCGAATGTGCTGTGCATAGCTTTGTCCTCGTGCTGTTATTTATTTTTATTTTATTTTATTTCTGTTTGGAATAAATAATCAGCACCAGCCAGAGATTCTGAACAGCCTGCTAATGACTGAAAAGGAAAATAGAGTATGATTTGCTCCCTCCTTCCACTGAGAAACAGCAAGGTAGTGAGCATTGATATCCCTGTGTTTTGGCCTGTACCAAATCCACTTCCCCCTCTTCAAAGAGAGGTGGAAGAAGTGCACTTAGACTCTCACAGTTTCACTGTTCACCTGCATTTCACTTTCTGAGGAGGTGGTAAGGACTGCTGCTATAGAAAAGCTCCTGTGCCATGCCTCCTGAGATTTTGTATATGCTGCACAATAAAAAGTGGCCACCTTGACAGTGGTCAGGAAAAAAATTTATCTCCCAGATTATTTGAGGTATTTAGTTTAATATATAATTTCTCTTTAAAAATAAAATAGGTACAACAAAACTGAAGAGACAACTACTGACCGTCCTCAAAGCAGTTCTACACGTGATTTGTGTTAGTGCAAGTAACCCAATTGAATGTGCTGGGTGAGGAAATAACCTGTGTGCAGGACTGGTCCACAAGTCTGCCTGGTACCAGATGTTTTCTCCACAATCAGTGTACATTCTGTATTTTCAGAACCAGCAAAATACCAAATAAAAATATTTTTGTTTTTCTCTTACAAATATGCACTTGATAAAATCACAGACTGCTTCTTTTCCTGTGTAGGACAAGAAAATAATGATTATAAGGATAGGACATTTTATAAATAGTACATATCTAATATTTCAGCCTGTGTGCAGTTGAATGTGACTCAGGGACTTTTGAGTGGAAAGAACAGCTGTATTAGGTGGTTACAGTTCACTTTATTTAGAAGAAATTACTGCACAGAAGTGCTTATTTTGGTGATCAGGTTTTGGTATTTTAAAACTTTCAGGAAGCTTTTTAGTAAATATTTTAACCAGACACATCAAATACATTTCAGCTGGTCTTATATAAGAAAAATAAATCAAAATCTAATTTCAAAACCAATTTTTTTCTTGTGCTATCAGGTGCATGTGTCTATTTTATCTTTTTAATTTTTTTAAAGTGTGCTTTCTAGGTAGTAAAGGGGAGATTCCTTTGCTGCTTTAGGTTTCCTGTAATAAATTGTAGGCTTCTGAGGGCTGGGACACTGACAAAAAAATGTACATGCGTAATTCTGAGCAGAGGAGCAGCTCAACTGGTGTTCTACTTTCCTGTGTAAAATTACTCAGAGCCAGTTTGTGTGGGATCAAGGTCCTTGTTAATCTATTTTTGGCTATACCCAAGGCTGTTCTCATTTAGATATTAGTAAAAAATGTTAGAGTTTTAAGTAGACTTTCATTCTGCAATGGTCTCTGTTTCTGAGTATTCTCTGTATTATTGGTTAAATTTGGCTTTGCAGTGATCCCTTGGAGTTAGGGCTCCATCCTGCAGCCTCCCTGGAATGACCTCGCTGCCCTGGAGGAGGATATCACTAAATCAAATAAATGTTGTTGGATCAGAAGAGTTACAAGGTCCAGCCCAACAGCAGGTGTAATGTCAAAGCTTCTGATCTTTGCCTGGTCCCTTGGTACCAGGGGAATAGGTAGGGCCTGATCCAGGACAAGAGTGGCCTTTCTGTTGGAAGAGGTTATGGCGCTGGCTCAGGTTGAGATTGTTGTTGTCTTTCCAAAATCCTGCCCAAAACACTGCTTTAAAAAGTATCTTTATAGCCAAGGATTTCAAACTCTGTTACAATTACCTGTCTCACTAGTGGGTAAACTGAGGCACGTGGTGAACAAACCTGACATTTTCAGGTTTCATCTGGTAAAATCTGTTCAGGGCACAGAGTTTTGTGTGGACTCTTCCTCGTTTATGGCATCAGTTGAGCCTTGGATGTGGCGTTGAGGGTGCTTTGAGACCACCTGTCTGCCCATCAGGCAGCAGGACCACTGCTGCTTGCTTGCAAAGTGGATTTTTGTTTGTAGTTTGGTTTCTATTTTAATCATCTCCTTGGGGGGAAAATATGAGTGTAGCGAAATGTCTTGCTTTGGTAGGATGGGATTTTTTCTTTGTTTGCTCCACACACACACTTACAGTGTTGATGGTACTTTGTGTTTATCTTAAAGACAGCATGATGGAAGGAATGTGTGTTGCCTACATCAATTCACTCACCCATATAAACAGTTTCAGGAGGAAAGTCTGTATTTGTGTTTCTACGTTTTGAGATACTCAACTTTTAGACTATTAATGAGAAATTTTCACAGGTGGGAACAGCTGTTTCTGCTGCTCATTTTAACTTTAATGGTGCGTTTTCCATATTTTTGAAAGCCAGGTAACATATAGCAGGAGTTTGATAACCAGAAATTAAAGCAGTCTGGATTTCAATCAGGGAGTAATTTGTGAGGAGAGCTGAGTCCTCCTCAGCCCCCCTGTAGACCCTGTTGGTCTCCCACCAGCTGATTGTTGAGCTGGATTTCCTTGGAGTGTGGTTCATGCAACACAAACGTGTTTAGAAAATGATACCTGCCTTTTTCAGCACTGCCCAAAGAGATACTGAATGCACATTTTATGCAAACATGTAATTTTCAGCAGCTTCCTTAAAAAGTACATTTTACGATGGTTCATTTGCTATCGTGAAGACTCAGGGTAGAAATGAAGCCTGCTTGCCAAAATACTGCCAAAATAAGGATCTGACTGCCAAATACCCAGAAAATTTATAAAACAGATAAATATGAAAAGAGGTTTTAAGTGTCAAACCCAAGATAACCCCTGCAGCAAAGCAGGATAAAAGCCTTTATTGTTGCTAATCTAAGAGCACATCACATGTCGGAGGTCGTGTATTTTACATAAAAGATGTATTGTTTTACATACTCTCAGGAAGGTGAGCCCTGACCTATTATGATGGAGTAGTGTTATGTCCTTTACAGTGCAGAATCAGGAATTTCTTATATGTGTACCTCAGCAAGGAACACAGAGCTTCCTATACAGCAAACATGCTCAAATTTTGGCCCCTGATGTTCTGGTACTGCATTAGAAGAACTGCTTCTCACACAAAATATAAAAAAAAATGGAATGAAGTGCCAGTGAGCAACAGATAAAACCAATATTGATTTCATATCAAAGTAACCTTTTTTCTCCCAACTAAAAATAATCAGGTTTCAATGGTAAAGAAGTAATGCTTCATTCTCACTGTGAAAACATTTTTCCTTCCAAAATAAATGGTGAATGAGTTCATATTCTTTTGAGTGAACTTAGTGAAGATTCTGATTTTTTTCCCAGAGGTTGGTATTTTACTGCTCCAGTAAAAAGCTTCACCTAGTGATGTAAATAGCACAGCTTACCATTTGGTGAGTTTCACAAACACCCCCAAAACTCCACATCACTGTGTGAATTTTATGAAATGGAGTTTCACGTAGCTCTGTCTTACACATCCACATGTCACTGACTTTCCGTTTCATATGAAGTCATCAGTGTCACCAAGTTATCACATATTTCTTTCTGTCTGTATAGTACTCTGTACCCCTGCAGCAGAAGATCAACATTTCAGTGAAATTATGTTATAAATTTACTCTGTTAAGGTATTTGGTCAATTGATGTGGAATTAATTCTAAATGCTGTTAGTGGTTTGAGTTAGTAACTTGATCTAAATTAATAAACAAATGTTTTTCTTTTCTCTTGTACCATATGTTGATCCCAATTACATGAACAGAAAGTGGCAGATTGTCATGTTTCTTAAAAGATTACATACTCTTTTGCATAAGAGAGAGTACACAAGATGCAGTAATATACAGGGTAAAAAAAACCTACACGTGCTGTTTTCTCCCTCCTACTTTTTATAAAGATACACTTTAATTATTCCTCCTTTTAATACCCACTGCTCTCACCACCTTGGCGTGCTTGGCGTGCTCTTGGTAATGCTTAATGAGAAGATATCCCAAGACAGTAAACAACTTTCTGAATTAGGAAGATGCAGCTAGTTCTAAAATCTCATCTAGGACTGTGTCTCTATGGAAAAGGATGAGAAAAAAGAAAAGATCCAGAAGATAAAATAGCAGTGGTTGCAAATGGTCTTAAAATGCCTTAAGTGAGGAGAATCCATGCAGACAATAGTCAGATTTCTGAAACAAAGAACTGAACTCATTTATTATTCAAACTGAAAATAGATTGATAGACATCAAGATTAAGAAAGTTTATGTTAGAGAACAAAGATGTCTCATCTCCATGGGGTTTTTTGCTTCTCTTTTTCTTCTCCCAAAGACCAAGTTGTTTGTGCTGAACTGAAGAACCTCACACTAGCTGGTACTGATAAGCAGCAGTCCTGTGACTTGATTGTTTTTATTAACTCTCTCTGAAAGTCATTCACCATTAAATACGATTAGATTCATTTGTTGCTTTATTTATGTTTGTACTTGCAAATGTGGTGCCAATGAAAATGCTTTGGGTGTTGCTGCTGACACTGACCCAGAGTCACGTGTGTTACCTCCTTTCTCTGCAGGGTAAGAAGAGTGACCTTTTTGGGTGGCTGTAACTGAAGATTGCTTTACAGGAGCAACTGAAGAAGGTAAATGCAAATATACTGTCTTTAACACTATTTTTGAAGTATGTCTGAACAAAGAATTTGATCCTGAGAACCCTAGGACTGTACCTTAGCTGCACAAGTAAAGGCTTTTCTGGCAACATGGATAAAGTTTGAAGCATTGGGCTTGGAGCTTTTGGAGTAAATGCTGTGCTTTAAAAATCTTCATTTTGCTTGGGAAGACACTGGCTTAGGTGTTCAATTGCATTTGAGGAGCAAGGCCAAAAAGATGCACTTTTGTCTTTCAGCCATGTTCCGAGAAGGCTGCTTGGTAACAGAGCCTATGTGGGAATGGAAGACCCTGCTCTGGCTGGGCTTTGTGGCAGCTCCATGGCCCATGGCTGCTGGGGTGGGAGATGCAGTGGCACAGCCTGTGGCAAGGTCCCCTTACTGAGGCAAATCCCTGGGGAGTGGTCAAGTCAGCTTCAGTACTGCTTCATCCCAGGCTGAGACATTCCTGGGTTTCCAGCAGCACGTCGAGCAGAGCAGGAGAGCAAAATTTAGCTGTTAATTTGATTGCTTATTATCACTGCAAAAGTTAAAACACATGCTTTTTAGTCTTTGGAGCACAGCAAAAAGGAAAGAAATATCACTCTCTGCAAAATGATTTTTATTTAAAGCAGCGTGAAAGTCCTTTGCTTCTAAATTAACTCCTTGCCTCTCTTCTGGTCCAAAGTTTCAAGTTGGGAAGGAATATTAACATCACAAAAGTGGTGATTCACAAAATTAACTTGCAGAGGAGAAGAGTAACGCAGATCAGTGTTTGGTACTGAAGGGTGTCATCTGACTGAGGTTCATATGGCTGCTTTATAATCACCTTCTTTCAGAAATTAATAGTCGGTTAAGCACCATAGCAACAAGCAACACTGATGTAAGCGCTGAGCAGTGGCTGCTGTTCACTGTGATGTCAGTGCTCGTTAGTGCTGTTCTCTTGACCTTGTTTGAATATAAAATGGTGATTTCATTTTAAACTTAGAATTTTACAGAATGACTAAATGCAGTGGAGTGAATTAGAGCTATTTTTATTTTTAATTTTATTAAAATGTACTTGAAGGGGGAAAAAATGTCCCTGTTCTCTTCTGTTTTAAATTAAAATAGATCTGAGGACGATCTGGGATTTTTTTTTTCAGTTCTTTGTTGCCAAAAATATCTATTTAGTTAGGATGAAATTCATGAAGTTCAAGTGAATATTGCAATCCTTGGCCATGCCAGTGGTGTGTGTCAGCTATATGATATATCCCTCTCTTCAAGATTTGAATCTTACTGGTTTGTTTTTTTATGGTGGAGCCCATGAAGTATTAGATGTATTTCAGCTACTGGAGAAGAAGCAGATCCTGCAGTTTAAGGAGCAAGTGCTTCCTTGCTCTGCAGTATTGTTCCTCCCTTGAATTCTTTGAAGAAAGGAAGAATTTCAAGTCCCAGGTTCATCAGAGGGCCTTGTAATTAACGGGTCTCTTGTTCCTGGTTCATGTATGTCTGTGTCCTCTGTGACCCAGGAAAACTTGGACTTTTGGTGGTGTTAAATGCAGGACACTACCTTTAGACTCCCTGAAGCTTGTAGGCTGTGTCTCCAGAAGCAGATCTATTTTGTACTACTACCATCAGTGCACCACTCAGGCACACATCCCCTCTGTCACTCATCCTTCAGCAGAAAGCAGTTTGGGTGATTCACTGGAAAAGACCATTAGATTTTTCAGCCTGATCTCCTGTGTATCATAGGTTATTGATTCTCACCCCTGAGCAGAGCTGGTAAGCAGAGTTCAGCCAAACTCTGTTTCCTAGAAGCTGATCCAGGCTCAGGGGGAAGACAGTGAGGACTGGAGAAGCATGGGGCAGCTGTGGTGTGTGCAGGTGGATCTGTGTTCAAGGAGATGTTATCAAACTGTTCAACAAAATCTAAAACTTAATGGAAAACAAGCTGTTCAACGTGTCCTTCAATGTCAGGATTGTTTCTCAGAGAAGGTTTGGCTCTGTCCTGCTTCTACTGCAGTGAGGGGTGCAGTTTTCAACAAAAAAATATTTATTGCAGGATCGGTCTGTAGTCTTGCAACATATTTCATAAAAAAAACCCATAATGAATGATATGTGGTCCAAGAAACTGGATGTCACATTTAAACTGGGCAAGAATTGAAACCGCTGAGATAATAAACCATGAGAATAGGAGATAGTAATGGAAATAGTGATAGAGTCCTAATTAGAGCAGTGCCACTGAAACAGGGAAGGTTAAGGGTTTGGTTGATTGAGTTTGAGCTCAATTGCTTGATAGCTTAATTTCAGGTGAAATCCCATCTCCTGAGTTAGCGGTTAAGCCGCTCGGAGCAGTTGCAGAGCAGGACTCTACTCCTTGAGGAGCAGCCGCGTGGCCCCGGGCGTCCCAGCCCTGCGCGCGAGCCTGGCCTCGGGCACGCGGGCTGGGAGCAGCTCAGAGCTGGCAAAATAGATTTTTATTCTGCGTGGTTTGTTTGCTTTCTTTTTTTCTTTTTTTTTTTTTTTTTCTTTTTCTTTTTTCTTTCCCTGTGAGCTCCGAGGAGCTCTGAACAGAAGCAGAAATAACAGAAGAGATACAGCAAGGGTCTTTGATGGTTAAACCTTCAGAATTAAGATGTTTACATTCTCCTTTATTTAGCACTGTTAGGCATAATGCCTAATTATATGCCAATTTTTCCTCACAGTAAGAATTAGAAATGTTTGATTTGGGGAGAAGGGAGAGGAAATGTATTTTTACAGAATTATGGGCAATAGTGTTAGTTTTCCAGGAGCAGTCATTTGTTTAAATGTAGTAAAAGCATTTTCAATAATCAAACAGCATTCAGTGGGCATTGTAAATCAGGGATAGCTTGCATGCTGAAAATTTGAAAAGTACAAAACATGCTACTAAAATTGTGCATTATTGATAACAAAAGGCATGTGTAGACTTTTAAGATAGCAAAGATAGAATCCTTTAGAAAACCTTTAACAGCAAAAAAAACAACACAAAGGACTTAGCAAAGTTGCACTTAGTTTAAAATTTCAAATCTTAATGCTTGTCAGAGTTAAATGCTGATTAAATATTGATAATAAACCAGAAGCTGCCTGCTGAAACTCAGAGCTGAATGAGATGATCAACAGATAAATCTGTGGGTTTGAGCTATAACTTTCTTATATAGGTATATTTTCTCCTCCCTTCCCTTCAAGCCAGGAGAAAGGTCAGAAGGACTTTTTCTCCTAAGCTCAATACAAAAAATGGTTTGTGTAGTTGGTCTATGTGGAAAAAAAAAAGTGGACCAAAAAATTACTTTTTTCCAACTTTGTTTTATCAGGAAGAGAAATGGTTCTCAAACCAGGTTGTCAAGTCAGTGTGCCATGTCTTTGCTGGCCGTTGCAGGCAAAAGTCAAAACCCTGAAACAAACTCTTTCAGACACATTTCTGCTTATGAAAGGCTCAGCAGTGTGTGCAGTTTCTCCCCAGCACTCTTCCTTGCTGGTGACTTCCAGAAGTTATGCTGGTGATGTCCTTAGTCCTGTTTTATGTACTGGCTTGGATGGCAGGCGTGTTTGCACATCAGGCAGTGGGAGGTTGATGGGATGATGTTTTCCTTAGTGAATTTGGCACCTTGACTCTTCTTGCTTTTGACCTAAACATCGTAAAGCATATTAGGGAGCAGAACCAGCTCCTGTCCCTAGAACATGTGGTGTGCAGCCACTTCTGAATATGGTTCCTGAATATGGACTGGGCTTCAGTCACAACGAGTCCTGTGACAGAGCAGACAACCTGGTTCTTGAGCATTTTCTCCAGTGTTTTCTCTGCAGTGTGCCCAAATTACACAGAGCTGTACTGGAAGCATTTTGCATGAGTGCTTGTGTCACCCTCAGCAGGAAAGATAAACCTCATTGATGCCTGCTGCTCCCTTGCTGCTGGGTGGTAGTCCTGTAGCTGGAGTGATCAGTGTCTGTCAGGCCTTATCTAAGATTGGATTTATTTACTTCTGGATGATTGGGAGAAGTTGTAATATCTTAATGGTTAAGAATTTTGAGTTACTGGAGGGTCCTTTTCTTAAGGTTCAAAGATATAGTGTGGTGCAAAGTGTTTCTGTATTTATTAGTAACAGAAACTACAACATTGCCTGCATGTTTTGGGGTAAACCCTAAAACGTCTGGGTGGGGGTCATTGGAAACACAAAGTGTTTGAAGACTTTGCCTATTTGAATGAAAAGTTCAGTCCAGACATGTGTGAAGCTGTAACTTTTCTGAAGCAATCGGGTCAAGAAGATGTAGAAAATAGATTAAGACATTTTGGGATAATTTAAGAAGTATCTGAGCAAATCTCATTAACATGGCCCACTAGCTTGCTGTATTGAAGACTTCAAAGATCTGTCAGAGGAGTTCTTTCTGTGCTATTGTCTGCCAGCATTAGCAATCTCGAGAGAACATGTTTCTTTTGTTTTCTTTTGGCCCATTTAGCTTTTCTTCTTTTTTTTCTTCTTCTTAATATTCCTTAATATCTTATAAATCTTCAAGTGGGTTGATAGGAAAATATGTTTCTCTGCTTTAAGAACGTCAGTAGCAGGTTTTGATCCTCTTATCTGATGCTTTTGGACCAAATCTTTCTGGTCTTCGTGAAGACTGCTAAAGTGAGCAAGACTTGGCCAGTATTTTGCATAATCCCATGGGGTTTCTCCTGTTAGTACCATCACCCAATCTGAATCCCTGAAGAACGTGGAGCACAAGGTTCAGAGATTCATGCAAACTTCCAGATTAGCCTCATCTGCACCCAGAGGTCAGACAGGTGCAAGTATTGAAACAAATGCATATATTGAAAATGGCCCAACACATAAAGGTTGTGACTGCAAATTAAGCAGCCAAAAAGGATGCACTGATGTTTGCCAGTACAGGTGCACCAAGGAGACAGCTCATAATATACCATGTAATGCAGACTGTGCAATTTCTGGCCTGGTTCTTCAAAATCAAGCTGAGTAATATGTCAGGATATGCTGCATTTTATCACA